AAATAAAAAAGGTCTAAAAAGAAAGAAAAGTTGGTTAAACTGCTCTTAGAAAATCGGTTCATATATTGAACAACAAAAAATATCTATAAATCAGTGATATCTGGTTAATACATGCTTTTGGTATTCACTAGGAAGCCCAAACTTTGATATTGATAAAGAAAATAACACTAAGACTTCCAAGAGCGAGAAAATGAGCAATTCTGGAAATATCGATAAGAAACAAAAGAAAAAGCGACTGGACAAAAACGAAAAAATTAAAAGTAAAAGACATACAACGAGCAATGCTAATTAAACCCAGTCAGCCTTTCTCTAGTACTGTTTACTCTAGGATACCTAAGTCTTCAGTCATATCCATCGAAGCGATCACAAAATGGAGAGGTTGGTGATACAAGAAAGGCCTCCCAGTCAACGACAATGCAGCAGATCTCCAAAGCTTTGAGCAAGCATTACTAAAAGGTTTCTCAACGAACATCATTAATTAAATTATCCCAACTGCGAAAGCTCAATGATACACCACAAATCTGATGATGATGATGATGATGATGGTGATGATACTGAAGATTGTCCAGGATTTTTCTGACTAGACTTAGAATGAATTTAACATTTTTATGGTATACCTTGCAGCTACTTACAGTATTCGCTTATAAAAAAGTTCGTTGTGTTAGTGACTACCAACATATTGAGACGACCTATATATCATTAAACAAAAGATATCTTAGTAGTGTCTACGTCAAAATATTAATATTATGTGTCTTAAAAGCATTGCCGTTTTTTAGCCAAAAGCTATTGCAAGCAATTTGCGTTATACATATATAAGAGTAATTTTCTATATGAACAGCCTTTAAATTTGTCGGTGTTCCCTGATTTAAAACGATAAGAATTAGTAGCATAGAAACCTTAGGCACAGACAAATGAAATATATAGTTTTAATAAAAACGTAAAGATAAAAATAACCTTATTTGCTTTTGGTAATAAATTTATGGCGTTTTCGTAGGCAAAGATCTTTTTAAATAGCCCCAAATATTTATTCGCGGAAGATATTCTTATAGAAATTGCATGTAATTCTTACATACCTATGTACTTTACCATTTTCACTTGGAAACGGTTCAACTAGCTATCACTAGTATGTTTGTAGCAAAATGATTGAGATACAGAAACAATAAGATAACAAAATACGTCATTAACCCAAAATCCAAAATACGATATCAGCTTACTGAAAGACCTCACATAGAACAGATTGTAAAACAGTATACTTATAGAAGGTAACTTAGGTTATAGTTGTCAACTAATTATTGCAGAAAATCTTAACCTTACTAGAAAGTCATTTGTATTTGAGTGGTGTCGTTAAGTTTCGAGAGGTATCTACCATAAACAAATATTCCAGTTACAGATGATCACAATGCTACTGCTACCTACTCTTGTTAGTAATCCCATTAAATAGAAACGACTTCATAGTTATAGGCAGATAATAAATTCTACAATAATTTGATGGCGACTGTATCTACCGTTATTCAAACGGGTGTAACCGACCAGGAGCTTGAAAAGTTGCGTATGTGCATGTTCTGAGACCATTCGCGTGGGAAAGATCAGCTTCTACCAAAATCACAAACCAGGGATAAGAATTAATGGCAGAAATAACTCCATACGAAACAAAACGGCACTTTTAGGAATGAAAAATTACAAATCCCCTGGCGATCACGGAGTCGTGACCGAAGCGATCAAACTAGGTGAAAATAAAATTATAAAGACTTTGACCAAGCATTTTACTAAATGCATCTACCAAGAAAAAACCCCCATTCAATGAAACAATACAGTCATTATTTTATTACACAAGCAAAGGAGTCATAATATATCTAATCTATCAGTTTGCTTTCACACATATATACACTTTTTACAAAAATTATCAAAAATAGACTGAAAGCTATATTAGACTTCTATCAGCCTAGAGAACTAGCTGGATTTAGAACGGGATACAGCACTAAAGGCCACTTACTAGTGATAAAGCTGGTAAAATAGTGTACAGAATACAACAAAACATTGGCACTGATATTTGTGGACTACGAGAAAGCATCTACAGAATGCTAAATAGATCATCGCTATACTAATATAGTCACATATATCTTCCAAAATGTCATAACTGGTGTCTTCTTCTTCAAGTTCCACTCCTATCGGAGATTGGAAATCATTCTGGCAATTATAATTTTATTGGTTACTCGCCTGAATAGTTCAATTGAACTGCATCCAAACCACTCACGGAGATTGCGTAGCCACGAGATTTTACGTCTTCCTACGCTTCTTCTACCTTTGATTTTACCCTGCATTATATTCCTTAGTAGTTCGTACTTTTCACCTCTTATGATGTGCCCCAAGTATTCCAATTTCCTGATCTTTATGGAATTTAAAACTTCGCATTGTTTTCCTAGTTGTTCGAGAACTTGTTCGTTTGTTTTGCGATCCATCCATGATATTTTCAAAATGCGTCGGTAATACCACATTTCGAATGCTTCTAGGTTTTTAATGTTGGATTTTTTAAGTGTCCAAGCTTCAACTCCAGCACTAGCGTCCAACACGTCCATAACTAGCGTAAAAATATCTAAACAAGAAAGAAAGAAATTTTGTATTTCGCGACTAGTACGAAAGAGCCTAGCTGAAAGCTGTAAACATTTGGAATAAAATATTATAAACAAAAATTTATTAAAACATTAAAGACAAATGTATCAGATGAAGATAAACCAAAATCCAGCCTACAAGAATATTGTCTCAAACTCTCAGAATATTCTTGTCACTTTAAATTTACGTAGTATCACAACAAAAACAAATATAAAATAAAGTTTTCAAAAAATTGCCAATATATTATGAGTAAATAGTAATAAATCAGTGATAATAAAGCATACATAAATAAATATGACCTATTTGAAAAAATAAATATCCAAATTAGCAAAAATGTAATGCAGGAGAATCCTGCAGCAATGAATAAAGTAGATAAATTCAAGTTTAAAACTCACTAACACCAGACACTGAAAGAAAACATTAAATATAAAAGATAATAATTTAAAAGATGTATAAGCAACAGTAAAAGATTATGACATGGATACCATGAAACCACATAAAACAAGGAAAGAATAAAAAATGAAGTGAGTAGCCAACAAGTGGCAAACGTAGTCAAGGTAAGGAAAGGAAAGGAAACATCGTGGCTATAAATATAGTAGGTAATCAAATTATTATGATTAGTCACAAAATTTTATGTTTTTCTCATTTTTCAGAACTTTTATATTAAAAACATATCCTGCTAGATAATGAAGGTATGCCAATTTTTTTTGTCACCAATAACTTAACTTTTTTGACGTTGACAGCTCTAGAACTGTCATATGTGTCAAATTATGTCACAACATGCACATCGTGTTTTTATTTTGTTTTTAAAAAAATAATATTGATTTATCTTTGTAAATGAATCAGTTTTAATTTTAAAGACATTTTCAAAAAATACCAATTTTTGAGAATAAAATCATATTGGGTAAGGCTAAAGACATTCCTGAAACTAAAATAGTGATGATAAAGACATTTTTATGGAATACAAAGCTTCGTCAACATCAGAGGAGAGAAAAATGGGGGATATCTTCGTAAACAACAGAAACAAACCACGAACAATTCTCATGAGAATATTCGTGAACCTGGGATGCCAGTTTCTGATATGACAGTCCACAAAAGGTTTTCTGAGCAAGGTTTCAAAGCATGTCGACCTATCAAAAAACCAAAGTTGACCATCGCAATCATGAAAAAGAGGCTGCAACGGGCCAAACAACACCAAAATTGGATAATTGAGAATTGGAATAAGGTAAACTATATCACTACTATAGTTTAAATCTCTATAACGACTGTTTTTATTATAATTATCTATTTTTTTATTTACAGGTTTGTTTATCCGATGAGTCTACAGTGGAGATACTCATGGACAAGTCGCCTTGATCCGAAGACTAGTGGCTAAAATAGCACTAGGATTGCATAGTGAAGAGAGTAAAGTATCTTCTCTGATCAGTAGCAAGGGCACAGGGAGGCAGTACATTGTGAAGGGAATGATGAACCAACACCAGTATATTAAAGTTCTAAAAAAAAGCTTATGCCTCAAATTGAAGCCTGGTTTGGCGAATCGGAAGATTTTACCATTATGCGCGATTATTCACCGTGCCATAAGGCAAAAACTGTAACATTGTACCTGAAAAAAAAAAGAAAATTAAAGTACTGAAGTAGCCAGGTAATTCCCCAAACCTCAACCCGATCGTAAATCTATTGGAGCTTATGAAGAGGTAGACTGCCCAAGAAATTGTCACAAATAAGCAGTAGTAAATTAAAAAACTCATTTCCACCTGGCACAAAGACGATAAAATAAAAGAATAGTGCCTAAACGAATGGCACAGATCAATTTTAACCTGGAGACCATACCAACACAAAAGACCCAGAGGCAGACCTCCTATGAGATGGACAGATGATCTGAAAAGGACTGCCGGGAAAAATTGGCTACAAGTAGCGTACAATAAAAACCAATGGAAAGGAAGACTTGAAGAGGCTTATGTTCAGATGTGGACGTGAATGGCTAGACGAAGAAGAAGAAGAAGAAGTGCCTAAAAAACATTCAATGAGGGCCAAGAAGGATTAAAGCTGTCATCGAAGCTAAAGAAGTTCACACGAAATATTAAAAAAAATTATTATTTCAGTCCAAAAAAAAATATTTTATACTTTTTACAGTGATTATAATAATTTGATCACCCACTGTAAATACGTCAATACTATGAGCCATGCGCTCAACGATTAAATTATTTATAAAAATTACTCTTATATATGTGCATAGTATTAATAAAAGCCGTTTTTCCCACATCCTGTTCGGTCACCTCGAGCCGGCATAGAAAGTTAAGCGTAAACTCATCTTTATGCCATTATGCTGCGTTCGAGCGAGCAGCTTCGAATCGAGAAGGGGCTCGAGGAGCGACTCGAACTCAACTCACCGATATATTTTTTAACGGGTTCCGTGTAATAGGTGGTGTATTCGGTTTTAGAGTTAGGCGAGGTCACTAACAACCGGTGGATGTAATTGTCGTTAGATAGTCTGGCCGGTAGACCATTATCGTGGTATCTGAAAAAAATAAGAAAGTATATTAGATTTTATTTAAATATTCTTCTAAGGTATATTATTAATATTATGTTTCTTTGGTTATTTAACAACTACGCCTGAGTTGTCTGATGGGTGGATTAAGTAGCTCATCGGATGACACTGCCGGTCCCAAGTCCGGGTAAAAGACAAGGGTCCTTAAGGTGAGGTTAGCCACCTACCTGGGGTAACGAATCCATACTGGCTCACAGAACTGAAGATACAGCCTTGGATACCGGACGGAACTATCAGATGACGACACGCTCTATGGCAATGGAAAAACGAATTGGTAAACGAAAACCTAAACACGCCATCACACGAATCGCCTGCTGAAACATAACGTCGTGGAACGGAAGAGACCAGCAGATCATAATAGAAATAAAGAAACACAATATTGACATCTGCACAATCTCCGAAACAAAGAAAAAAGGCCAAAGAACATTAAACATAAGAAAAGGGTAGGCCTTCTTCTGTAGGTACCATCTCCTCTAAGGAGGTTGGTAATCATCACAGCTATTTTCACTTTTGAGATTGCAGCTCTGAACAAGTCGACGGAACTGCAATTATACCACTTTCTCAGATTGTTGAGCCAGGAGATTCGTCTTCTTCCAATACTTCGTTTTCCCTGTATTTTTCCCTGCATTATGGTTTGTAGCAACACATATTTATCCCCTCTCATAACGTGGCCGAGATACTGTAACTTTCTTATCTTAATCGTATTCATGATTTCCATTTCCTTTGTCATCTTTCTGAGGACTTCAACATTTGTTATTCGGTCTACCCAACTTATTTTTAATATTCTTCGGTAGGTCCACATCTCGAATGCTTCAAGTCGATCGCTCACTTCTTTCTTTAAGGTCCAGGCCTCCACCCCATACAGCAGCAGCATAGGGTAGGCCTAGTGTCCAATAAACATCAAGATTTTCATCGTCTTCAGAACTTTGGTAGTCTCCTGCCAAGTTTGAACACTTCAAAGTTTTGTAAAATGTATGACATACGGTTGGTACAAATGACAATAAGGACATAATATCGTCATACTTTTGTTTGCTAATAGGATGCAATTGATTTGTTAAAACATTAAGATCATCAACCGGAGTAACATGTTGCTTCTTCGTGATTGTACCAAGTTCATGCATTTAAAATCTTAATTAAAATATGTTTTAAAAAAGAACTATCGTTGATTTTTTTCTTACTTGTAAATAAACACATTTTGAAATGAGAATAGGTCCCTTTTCACAGTCGACTTTTCTGAAAACAAAAGGTGCATTCTTTCCAACAAACATACCATCAAATTTTTTTAAATCCTTCAGTTGCATGTTGTACAAAGAAAACAAAGTAAATCCCAGGGGTAAGTATCTTCATGTTTGCTGCCGTTGTTCGTTTTTTCTCTAGACAGAGACAGATGAAAACAGCTGAGGAAGACCTATGTCCGGCAGTGGACGCATACAGGTTGATGAAGAAGATGATGATGATGGTACAAATAGGTAAAATTAGCAAAATGAAGATACTAAAGGCTCAAAAGACTTAGTTCATGGTCTTAAAATTGAATATACATGCAATATTAACACTTTCTTCAGGATATGCTGGCACTATCAAAGCGTATAATTTGCTAGATGGTTTTATTTTCCATATTTTCGTTGTTAGAATCTCTTGTCAACTGCCTGCTATGCTCAAAACCCTGCATATTCATCAGACAGAATTCCAATAAATAGAAAAAATTAATGACATTAAAAAGGTGAATTTTCAACATTTTGGAATGTTGCGGAACGTAAAACTATCAGATGCAGATGAATTGTAAGTTCAAGATTAATAATGCTTAGTTTTTTCAGTATGACATACTGTCTCAGCTTATGAGTTTAAAACATATGAAATATTGTGTAGTCTTTTGACAATAATAATTTTACGTACATAATATATGAAGTTTCTATGTATTTTAACTGTTTCTTACTTAAAACAAAGAAAGTTTTAGTACAAACATTAAAAATTATGGTTATGTGATGGTTAAACTTTTTTTAATCATTATTTTCTCTAGGCAATATGCATTTTTGTTATAAGAGGACTATTTCAAGTAAGATGAAAGTGAAAAAATATGGAATGGGAATATTTACCTGAATAAATTATTAAGTCCAGTGCACCCAGAATTATAGTTAGAACTCGATAATAATATACCTGTCCATAATAAAAAATCAAATTTTGTCGGTCACTCAGATTTAAAAATCTAGTAGTATTTTCATTTTCTTATAAAAATCTTAATAAAAGTGAGTTTAAATTTTTCACATTCGAATAAAAAACCTCTTCAATCTGATTTCACAAGATGATGAGTGTGTTAGGCCATCCATCTTATTCACCTGACTGAACACCCTAACTTTTATCTCTTTCACAAATCCATATATTTATTAAAAGAAATAAAAGTTCATAACGGTAAAATTTTCAAGAGAAAAGCATTACTGATCATCTCAAGGAAAACGAAAACAAAGCCGAGTTCGCATAAATCTTTATAAACACTATATACTTATATACTAGATTTTTTGTTTTTACTATTGTTTGTTACTAATAATAAGAATAATGTACCATAATTCTCGTGGAAAAAAGATTCTTGAACTACTGATAAAGTTTTGCTCATTATTTCTAAATTATTAAAAAGCATAACTTCAAAAACTTAAGTAATGTAGTGATTTAGTACCAACCTTAGACTAGCAATATTATAAAATATATTCTACAACCCATATTATAAGCCTAGTTTTATTTCAGAATCAAATAATACACCAAGCAATGATGTTCAAATGAAGACCATGTTATTAGAGATGCCTTCAGTTTTGATGAAGAAAATGAGACAAAAATTATGATGAACTACTCTTGGTGGAAATGACATCGGATCTGTATTACTGAAATGGTCAGATACCGTCATTCCTGGCAGTGAAATAGAAGTAATCATACTATGGTCGGCAATGCCAGAATAAAAATGTAGGCAATATTATGTGTTTATTTTGGATACTTAATAAGTATCCTCAAGTAAAAATCATCACTCAGAAGTTTATTCAATCCTTGTATGAGCCTCGGTAGAATATCAATTCGATTTTAAAAAATGTCTTCAGGATTTGTTGTTTCATTAAATAAAAATCAGTAACCAAAATGTTTATGATAAAAATAATCCAATAAAATAGAATAGAGTTGCTATATAACTACACTAACAAAGTACACACAAATACTCACAATCCAATGTTACTACTGTTTGATATGGTTATACTTTATTATATACGTATTACTAACATAACAACTTTTCTATTAAAAAAACACAGCTGTAAGAATTCGAAACAATTAAAAAAACAAATTAGAAACTTCTATGTATAACTACCAAAGTAAATCTCTGGTAAATATCTGTAACGAAATTAATAAAAACAAAATTATAGACAACAGAATTGAAATTCCTATTCAAAATTGACGAAACTCATACATATATAAAATACAACCAAACAATACAAATATTTTAATTAATATACAAATCATAAAACAACTGTTTCTATTTTCCTTTTTTTACCTATACTCCATTCCACGAATATACGACTGTTTTAAATTCGCTTTAAGGTGTCGACTTAAATGGTCCAATGTGCTGAATTGTACAATGGTAAATTCTCCCCATTTTTAAAATACTGTTATGACAGATATACACCTTAGATTTAAATATGAAGTTATGATCTAAATATAGAATTGATAGTTTATAGAATAGTTGTAATTTAGATTTTGAAGTATACTCGTATAATTACTCTCATTGACTTTAGTATTGTACACAAGTTGGTTTTTGAATTAAGTGATTTAAACGAAGTGTAACTATACTTAAGTGATTAAATAGTTTAATTTATTTAGTCGAATATTCAATAAGTATTAAAAAAACAAAAAACTTACTCTTACTCTTATTCTCCTAATCATCATTACAAACAAATACACTACACTAAACTCTCTCTTAACGGACACGTCTCTTCACCGGACACCTCTATACGGACAGTTTTTAAAACTAAAATCAGTCGGCGATTTATGAAACTGTATGTAAATTTTCGTTACTTTTTAATATCTGTAATGACTCGGTACTTTAACTATCAATAGCCGCCATGTTATACCCGTTACTTTCGGAACTTTTAAGAGTATATCCACTCAAAGCAAACAAAAAACTAACAAAGTGGAATACTAGATTCTTTTTCTGGTTTCTGAACCATCGTTCTACCAATTTCTTTTTATTTATATTAAAAATAATATATTTCTTTTTATTACCGTTGTAGTACCTAAAGTAATAAAGTAATAAAGATACCCGGCGCGCCTCTTTGGTGTTTACATTTCACCGAAATCCAACTCAAATGGCTGATGAACACATTTTAACTTCATAGAGGTCATTCTATTTATTTGTAGGAGCGTTTACGTAAATTTTTTTGTTATTTTCGGATTAATTTTCACAATAAATTTTGCGTCTATCTGAACATCTACTAACTGAAATAATTTTAGTTTATATGTCATAGTAACAGAAGATCCTTTTTTATGGAATAATAATTAGACCAATTTACTTTCATACTTCTACTTGTACAGTAAAATATTCGTTGTAGCAATAATTCCAAACAGTCGTATATTCGTGGAATAACCTATAGTTTATACATTTTAAAGACAGGTTCGTTATCGACTAATCACAAAAAGCAGTAATTTTAGATGCCCAACCTTCCAAATATTCTTTGAACCAAATTTTTTAATAAATCGCATACTTGGATTTAATTAGTTGACAACAAAACATATAAGAAGCATTATAGACGATATCAGGAAGTAATTGGTCAAGTAAATAACCAATTAGCTGCTGTACATTGACTAATTTAAATGAAATAGGTGGACCATTTAATGAATCATCGTCACTCAGAAGTTTCTACTAAAGGATCACACCCACATGGAGGCGGACACTGTCCATGAGCTGATAGAGCGAAAGAAAAAAAACTTTAAAGAATTTTTATTTTAACACCCTAGGACTGGCAGCAGTTGGTCAGACAAAACTCAATTAATATACCGTACATAATATGGAACTAGAAGATTTTAAATATTTTAGGACTTTGTATTATATCAAAACATCAAAAAATCCGCCTTTGATTAATGAAAAAGGAAATATTAACAAACAACAAGTTCTTCTGTCAAACTGTGTTTAACTGCAAGTAAAACAAAACAGCATGGGAACTTTGTTATTGTAAAGTAATTTTCATGATGAAAATCAGGAGATTGATCTTGTTACGTTTCGAAGGTGATACCTTACATTGCCAAAAGATTTGCAACTGGTATCACAAAGTCAACTTCAACAAAACAAAAGTAATGACAAACACGGAAGACCAAGAGGCAATAAAAATACAAACAGAAAAAATAGAACAGGTAAATGAGTATATCTATCTAGGACAAGCAATCAGAGCTAACAGAGAAAATCAAACAGCCGAAATATCGAGACGAGTAAGAATGGGATGGGCAGCGTTCGGCAAACTTTCTTACGTTCTAAAAAATCAAACACCTCTATAATTACGAAGCAAGGTATATAACTCATGTATAATACCGACGCTCACCTACGGAGCACAGACATGGACATTTACACAGGCCAATTTGGATAGGATTAGGAAAGCACAAAGAGCGATGGAGAGACAAATGTTGGGTATATCACTTAAAGATAGAAAACGTAACCAGTGGTCAGAACCAGAACAAAGACAGTAGACGCGATAGAACAAGCAGCAAAACTGAAATGGGCTGGACACCATAAACGTCTCCAAGACGGATGATGGAACAATGCCATCGGAAAGTGGCGTCCATACAATGCAAAGAGATAAAAAGGCAGACCACAGATGAGGTAGAAAGATGACATCAGGAAACAAGGAGGTCCCACATGGCAGAGAATAGCTCAAGATAGGGAAAGATGGAGAGAACTGGGGGAGACCTATATCCAACAATGGAAGGATAGAGAATAGGTTTAAAAAAATCACAAAGTCCAATACCTATATCACAACAAAAGAATAATGATTTATTGGCATTAGTGTTATTTATTGTTCCTAAATTTTACCATGATATGAATTTTATAAAAACTTAAAGCATACTTCTTCTTCAAGTGCCCTGTCCGTTGAGAACGTTTTCTATTAACATGACAATTCTGATCGACCGATGTGAGCCCGAACCACTTCCGCAGATTTTGGAGCCACGAGCATCTTCTCCTACCTGGCCCTCGCTTATTGTCTATTTTCCACTGGACAATCAATTGCAGTAGAGGGTACTTATCGTGTAGCAATATGTGGCCTAGAGGTTTAAGCTTTCTTTATTTAATTGTGCTCACGATTTCTTTCTCCTTTCCGATTCTTTGGATTACCTCTATGTTGGTGACATGTTCGGTCCAGTATATACGAAGAATGCGTCGGTACACCCACATTAACACCCAAAGCATACTAGTAATACTAACAGTAACTATCCAAAAGGAGACTCACTTGACGATGACTGAGTCATTTGTACGTAAAATACCAATTTGGTTAAATACATAGATTATATTATACATAGTATTATTTGTTTTTGTAAGGGTGAACTGTATGGTTAAATAAATTTTGTAAGTCAAATAGTATTATAGTTGTTATTCTTCTTCTTTGAGTGCCTCTCCTATCGAAGATTGGATATCATTATGGCGATTCTAATTTTATTTATTGCATATTTGAATAATTCGTTAGTGGTACAGCCAAACCACTCTCTTAAATTTCTCATCCAGGACATTCTTCTACAGCCTGGATTTCTGCGTCCTTGGATTTTTCCTTGCATTATATTTTGTAGGAATGTGTACTATTGTCCTCTCATTAGGTGGCCTAAGTATTCAAGTTTTCTCTTTCTTATATTCAGGATAACTTCTGGATCGTTATTTATTCTGCGTATTACCTCTTCATTTGTAATTTTATCCACCCAACTTATTTTTAGTATACGGCGGTAGCACCACATCTCAAAGCTTTCAAGATTTTTAATATTCCTCTGTTTAAGAGTCCATGCCTCAACACCGTAAAGCAAAGTACTGAATACATAGCTTTTAACATTTAGTTCGTAGATGAATACTAGTATCACGATTACAAAATAATTTTTTTATTTTTATAAAGGTAGACCTGGCAATTTCAATACGTCTTTTTATCTCGTGATTTTGGTCACCTGTTTAGGTTGGTAAGTTAGTTAGGTGAGTTGGGTACCGTTTATTGCAATACTAGTGTCATGTATTGGATTCTTACTGAAGGTTATATATTTGGTTTTTTTGACAGTCATCCCTATGCCGTAGTTACTACATATCTCATTCATACTTTCAACTAGATGTTGTAGATCTTCGGCTGTTCTTGCCATTATCACAGTATCGTCAACAGTATCGAATGTTATTAATAACTTTTCCATTGACTATTATCCGCTTCTTTGCACGTGAGAGAGCTTTTTGGCATATTTGTTCGCTGGAGATATTAAACAAGAGCGGTGACAATATACAACTCTGTCGTACCATGTACGATGATTGGTCTTATTTTTATATAAGCTCGCTGATTCCAGTACAGATTTAATATTATGTGTATATCTCTGGTGTCGATGTTCAAAAAGTTATACCTAGCTCTATGGTGTTGAAGCCTGGACAATGACAGAAGCAACACAAAAAAGGATCCAAGCATTCGAACTCTGATGTCACCATAAAATGCTCAGAATATCCTATATGAGCCACGACAAATGCGGAAGTCTTGGGGAGGATAAATAAGGAAAGAGAGCTTATGATTATAATAAAAGAACGGAAAACACAATATTTTGGTCACATCATAAGAAATCAAAAGTATGAACTGCTCCAACTTATTATCGAAGGCAAAGTCAATAGCAAAAGTGGACCAGGAAGAAGACGCAACTCTTGGCTTAAAAACCCACGGCAATGGACGAACATCACCTCCATAAAACTATTCAGGGCTGCTACAAATAAGATTAAATGGGCAAATGTAATGGCCAACGTCCTTAAGGATAAGGCACCGTAAGATTACTTTGAGTTTATTGTGGCGTACTTTGTTAGTAGTTGTTACTCAATATCTCAAACTACTGATGATGGTCTTGGTGCATAAATACATCATTAGAGCATTAATCTCGCTATTTCATTGTGTCAACTCATGGACTTATAACGAATAAAGCTAACAATTGGATTAAACTAAACAGTAACTTTATATTTAAACTTACTTTGTAGTGACCGCTAAGGGCCAGCTGAATCGTTGGACACGAGGAACCGGGTCATGAATCCGTTTCAACAGAGACGCCGTTTGAGCGCGAATAAGTCTCGTCTCGTCATCGAATATCTGAAAAATGTTATTCTATTAGCATATATTTCTTATCATATCTACATATTTATTTAAAGATGGAACCGTATTTATTGCGCATATATTTATTTTAAAATAGAACGAATATCAAGAACTCTTTTCCCATTTTGTAACAAATACTTTTTCCATCAATAAATAAAAATTTATTTGCGACTAGAGCGAAGTGCATTCACAAAAGTTTTAATATTTATGTGTACGCCTAAGGTAGAGTTAGATGGAAAGCGCATTTTATGCAGCCAATGTAAAAGCGTTTCTGAAATAAAGAAATGCAGCTGAATGTTTGCAGAATTAAAAAGAAAACGCAGTGGGAGAATTTGTTATAAAAGCGAACAATCCCAATTAATTATGCTAGACTAAAATATAATTATATATTATGTTTGTTACTACTCAACTTTACGGTGTTTATCTACACTGTAAAAATTTTTTAGCAGATTTACCCTCTTTCAGTACATAAATTACTTATGGTAAAAAGAAAGTATTATTATTGACATCATGACTTTTGCATTTATTAACAAGAATCTGCAAATGTACAAAATTAACCATAACTTTACCAATAAGTTTGTAAAAGTACATACGTATAGGCAATTTTACTGGCAAAAATGTAATTTGAATTAGTAATAAAAATCATTTTACTCTAGTAGAAGCCAGAGTTATAGTCGAGCGGGTTACCCCTCAAAAGACGCTTAGAAACAGAATATACCTACTAATTTTTTTTGCATTTCTAATGCACCAAACCTTTTTTTATTCGATTCTATATATTTTTCCAAGATGAAATGTATTTTTTAAATTTTTACAAGTGGGCCGGCAATTGTTATTAACAAATAACTTATACACAAAAGCAATTTCACCTAATTGCTTCGGAATCAATTTTTTTAGATGTATCTCATCAAAATAAACACTTTTTCTCTCTTGATAATTTTTCGAAAAATGCTTCTTTTTCGAGTTATTTGCATTTTTTAGTTGAAAAAATGCCTTAATTAGTGATTTTTGGGATTTTTTTCTAAAAAACTACTAAATGAATTGCATTCTACAAATAGCTTTATAATCTTTAAACCGTCGAGTACAAGTTAGAATATTTTGACAAGGATAATTTTTTTCTATCTTGCTAAAAACGTGGAACCAAATATTTCGAATATGCCTTTCGAGCAGTCTACCGCTAAGTGTGTACAGCGGTTTGCGGCGATACAGGCGTGCGGCGCGGCGCGTAGAAATAATTGTTTAGATTTTTTTTTTTATTTCGACGTTAACGTGCTCGGCTACTATGGCCACTTACACAGGTACTATAACATGAGTTTTCATTAAACAAACAATAAGTGTTACATTAAGAATATGTTACAATAATACGGAATGATAATAATATCTTACACAATTTCTAAATTAAAATCTAATTATATTTTTTGATATAAGTGTTCATCTCTAAGGAAATGTAGCACAGCTTTTATTTGTCATGGTCGTTTAGGATATCTCGTACTTCACTTTTGAGTTTGTATTGTAATCTTCTGGCCGAATATTGATGGCATTCAGTGAGGATATGTTTGATTGTCAAATATGATTGGCCGCTTTGACAGGAGGACGGATGCTAGAGACATTAGGTAGCCGTGTGTGAGTTTTGAATGTCCTATCCGTAGTCGTCTTATCACAATGAGATCTTGTCTTGACAGGGCTGAGTAGTCAAATGTCTGACTGATTATTGACGGTTGTATTTCGTGTAAGATCGAACGGTTAGAGTTCCAATGCTGCTGCCAAAGGAGTCTGGTTCTTCTTTTAGTATATGATTTAGGTCCTTACAAATTTGAATTTTATCGGTGATTTCAGGTGATGCTGTAGCAAGTTTAGCATAGTGATCTGCAGTTTCGTTGCCTTCTATACCAATGTGAGATGGCAGCCAAATTATGGTAACAATTATGTTTTGGGACAAGATAATTTGGTAAGAGTCTAGGATCTTTTGGACGATTGGATGATCGGTAAATATATTTTTGATAGAATGGATTGATGCTAAAGAGTCTGTGCATATGGCAACCTGCTTATTAGGTGGATATATATGGTTAAAAGCTTGCAATATACTAAATAATTCACCAGTATGAACGCTGCTGAGGGATGGTATAAGTGATGAATTAATTAGTGAAAAAATTAATTTAATACAAATATTACGTACAATTTATTAAAAAATATATATTTATGTTTATTTTTATATAGACGTATTATAATTAAAACAATTAAAATTAATTTTTTACAATGCTATCATAATGTAAGTTTTCTTTTAATATACGTGGTGACTCTATTATTGAATGTTTTATTACAGTGAAATACATTAAGCAATATATAATCAATTTTCATTGAAAAATATAATAAAATAAAAATATAATATTATTTATACATCGTTTTCATTGTCAATAATTTGAAAATTTTCGTCAACAGCAACAGGATTTTCCATCTAATAAGCTGATTTCATTGTCTTCAATAAAGTCGTCTTTAACATTTTTACAATTCTCTGGTGTACATGTACATACTGAGCAGCAGCATTATAGGAAATACAATTACAATTTTTCGTAGAGAACATTTTCCGGTACATGAGCAGAAATACTTTTTGTAAAATATCTAAACTAGTTTCGCCTTCAAAATAAATAAAATCGAAACAATTATTTTTCCATTGTCCAACCATGGGTTAAGGATTAAGAGATGAAATAACATTGTTTTTTGCTTGAATCCATTCATTTATTTGCCACTTTGCTCGAAAATATTTGGGTCCACGTTTTTAGCGAGATAGAAACCATTTATCCTTGTCAAAATATTCCAACTTATACTCGACGGTTTAAAGATTCTAAAGCTATTTGTAAAATTGGAATTCATTTAGTAGTTTTTTAGAAAAAAAAATCCCAAAAATCACTAATTAAGGCATTTTTTTTCAACAAAAAAATACAAATAACTTGAAAAGGAAGCATTTTTCGAAAAATTATCAGGAGAGAAAAAGTGTTTATTTTGACGAGATACACCTAAAAAAATTGATTCCGAAACAATTCGGTGAAATTGCTTTTTGTATAAGTTATTTGTTAATAACAATTGCCGGCCCACTTTTAAAAATTTTTAAAATATACATTTTATCTTGGAAAAATATATAGAATCGAATAAAAAAGGTTTGGTGCATTAGAAATGCAAAAATAATTTTAGTAGGTTGATGCTCTGCTTATAGGGGTAAACCGCTCGCCTATTAGAATGCAATGAATTTTCAATATCTTCGATTGTAAAAATATTCTTTGGGAAATAAAGATCATTATAAAGTCATTAGGAGAAGCAAATCAGTTTTAATCTCCATTGTCCACGCAAACCAAACATATCTCTTTGTTGGATACTGGCCATTAGACTAAAAACTTGTTGGCAAATCTATGAAAGCTTAGTTCTATTTCATTTGGTACATGGAGTATTTGTCAGCATCTGTCGTGAATTTCAAACAGGGTATGACTCATAGTGTGCAAGTAAAACACGTGTGGTGTTAAATGTATTGAACAATCATCTAAACTCAAAAAATGGTGACAGCTCGACTATTGCTGTGGAAAAAGTTTCGAAAATGTGCGGAGTGAGTGTTCGCAAAATTTATAAGTCACTAAGATTGCTGGCAAAGCGAACTGATACCGGTACAAAAAAGGAAGAAAAACAGATTCGAGTTCAATTCACGTGAGAATACTTACGATGAGGGAGATTTTTTTTGGAAAACATACCACCAATCGTCGACAGCATAATAAACAAAGTAAAAGATGATGAGGATCTACCAGCTTTTTCAAAAACAACATTTCATAGGCTGCTAAATGACATAAATGAGTCTTGAACTAACGTCAGTGCTTTAGTCAAAAAGGAGGACACAACGATCAAGAATCCACATCATCCATGCCTTCATAAAAGGGCTTTTTACTAGACTAAAAGCTTTAACAAAAAGGTCATCGGTTTGTTCTTCATGCTGGAAAAGGAAACTGGTTTTGTGGCATGTGTCGAATAAACTTTCTTGGCCAAGAAGGGAACCACTGGTTACCACGACGAAATGGATGTGGATCTATATGAAGAATGGTTTGAGAAGACGTTAATTTCAAGCTTACCGAAAGGCAAAAAAACGTTGTCGTTTTGAATAATGCATCATAACACTTCCGCTAATTGGATTTCTCGAAAAAATTGTGAAACAAAAGGCTAATCAAGGTGAATCGAAAAGAACATTTTCTTTGAGGAAGATTATTTAAAAAATGAATTACTGGATACTATGGCCACAGTATAGCGCGATTAGTAGAATCATATAAATCTTTAGTTTTTCAGTAATTACATCTATACGATGTTCACTTTCCAAATACTTATCTTTAACCTTGACAACATGTTCATACACTTTATTTCAGTTATCTACAATAACTCTAGCAAATTCCTGTTCCACTAACACTTTAACGTCTTCTAACTTAAAATAAACGTTTTGTTTTGCAACTACATTTTTTATTTGCGCCCAAACCATTTCTATAGGGTTCAAGTCTGGATCATATGACGGTAGTTTTACAGAAACATGGCCACATTCTTGCAGCACTTTCTCAAATTTATATTGAATATGATCTTGTTTGTGTCGTTTGTTGATTTCATACAATTGCGGTTTAACATTGACGTTACCAATGCTAACCTTTTTTCTGTTAATTAAGATATCATATCCATTTTTTTAGAATTACTGGTGGGTGCTTTATTAATCTGTACATTATTATATGACGCATTATTAGTAACAACAATAGATCTAACAGGCAAATTGGTGATTAACTGTTCTTTTCTTCAATTTTTCATAATTTTCTGAATTCATATCATCATGATAATCTCCTGTCTTAGCTCCTGACTTAAAAATCAAAAGGTAATTCTGTAGAAACCTATCTTCCCACCATCATGTAGGTAGAATAACAAACCTACTTCCTCTTAAATGTTTTGAACAATCCTTTGCCACTGTCATCTGTCGAGCTATTTGGCGT